GCAAAAAAAAACACGGGTTCCGGGTCGTTGCTACGGGGGTTGGGGGTCAAAGTCCTCTCGTTACATAATCTCTTTATCATCTCGTTATACGTACCCCTGCATTCTCCCCCACCCAAACTTTTTTCGTACGGGCTGGGGTCACCAATCTCCTCTGACCACCCAATAAAACTTAACCCCCCTATCATAAGCCTTTCTTTTATAGGAACACCCAAAGGGGAGACCCAAATTTCAGAAGGCCTAGTCGCCGTAAACCACCATATCGTGCTTGTAGTTTCCACATCATATTCCATTTGATTCCATTTGCTTCTCCATCATTGGACCCTACGCGCCCTATGCATCCCTTCCCCCCCCCTGAATTACATCCTTTATGCCCCCCATAAAATCCCTTTACACCCCATGGTACCCCTGTCAATGGGAAGAGAGCTCAGCCTGCTGCGGACAAGAGGGCTTTGGTCAGCTCGTCAGCACTGCCTGAGGAGATAATCCAATAATCTTATTTATTCGGTGAAAGGGAGAAAGTCGCTAGCAGGGAACGGTGAAGGGAGAAGAAAGTGAAAGTTGTACTACGTTCTTTTTGGGGTTCATGGTCAGAATAGAAAGCAAATGACAAGCGCTTGTGGCAGGCCTGCCGCAGCAGCAGGGGCAGGGGCGGAGGCCTGGAGATCAGGTGTTCTGACTTCCTGGTGCTAAGCCAAGGATGGAGGAGTGGATGAAAGGGATGGGGCAAAGCTAACCCGCCTCGGTGCTTTGCTCTGTGGCGGGCGCCACCGGTGCCTGCGGTGCCTGCGGTGTCTGCGCTTGGGGACCCGGAGATTTAGGCGGAATCCGCGGAGGCACGGTCTGCGGCTGCCTCGGTGGGACATTTGGTGGAACGCTCGGGATAAGAATGGATGAGAAGGGGGGTGCGCTACATCAAAGGATGGATGCTGAAGATGGCCTTGTGGCGAGAGTCCCGCTGCCCCTTCAGCACCAGCAAACTCGATTTTTTGAGGGCTTATGCCTGGTGGACTATCTGCCCAAGGTATCCTTGCAGCCTTAAACTGCAATGTCTCAATTACGCGATATGAAGTGAAGCCTGACCTGGGGGTGCCTTATCAAACAAATCGACAGCTTGGGAGTGAGCTTTGCCACAGCGATCCCTTGTGTCGGAGTAGACGGGGTAGCGCACGGCCTGAGTACGGGAGCTTCTTTTCTAGCGAGCTGTTGAATTGTTGGCTTGCAATTCTACAGACCAGCAAGGTGTTGATCACCATTCCCATCAGGGCAGAGAGCCTTTGCAAAGTGGCACTCGCAAAGCGCACGGGCCGAGCGCGAGAACGTGTGCTACACAGAGGTTAACGGATGCGCAGCAAAAATCAAGGCAATGCTTGACAGATCATTGCTCAGGGCTCGGCATCGCCGCGTTAGGTTGCAGAAGCCTACTGCAGACTGCACTGGGGTACAGCACGAATCCGGCAGACACATGCCATTGATGCACTATGATGCACTGAACTCCGATGCCTGGTTTTGCAGACTGTGTGCAGGGGATCCTGAAACAAACCCTCCCACAGATGTCGGGGCTCCCGCTGTTGCTGCTGTTCTTGCTGCTGCCTTTGCAGCCTGGGCTGTCATCTCGTGAAATCTCCCTGCACGCCAAAGCACTCGGGCCCGTACTGGTCCATCATCTCCTGCTGCTGATTGATTGGGAGGTTCCTTAGTGTGGCAGAGCTGTCTGCGGTGTACTTTGTGAAAGGTTGCCATCTGTTGGGCACTTTGCTGGGCACCAAACTGCAGCTGCATCTGCTGCATGAGCTGGTTCCGCTCCATCTGAGCAAGATCACGTGCTTAGTGATGTTTTGTGGGTTTCGCTGTTCTGCTACAACCTGGATTTCAAAGACACTGTGACAAGTTGACTCGAATTTTTCTGACACCTCCTCCTCTGAGAACCTGTAGTTCGCTGCAGCCTAGCCTGGTGCTTCTGCTGCATCTGCTGAAGTGCTGGGGACCTTTGCGGCGGCTGCGTGATTGTGACAGCAAATACGCAACGTGCAAATGTCGTCTTACAGAAGCCGCCAAGACGCATGTTCTGCGGGGCCTGCTGTAACGGGACCTGGGGCTGCGCTTGCATCTGCGGCTGCTGCGGCTGCTGCGGCTGCTGTGGCTGCTGTGGCTGCTGCACTTGCTGCTGTTGCGACTGATGCTGTTGCTGCTTCTGGAGCTGGTTTTGCAGGAGGTGCATCTGTTGTGTGAGCATGATGAGCTGCTGTTGAAGCTGCTGCTTAATTGCTGGCGGCTGCGCAGCCTGCAGCTGCCGTTGGAGCTGCGCAACCTGCACATAAGACGTGACCACTTTGGGCGTTGCAATAACTATTTTTACATGCTGCCAAATTCCGTCCACGCAGCGCCCTATCCAAGAAGGAATCTCATCAGCATCATGCGTGTCAGAAGAACAGCCAACATGTGATTGTCACAACTTCAGGCCCCAAACCTGGCTGTGGTTCAGGATTCATGAACACCAGCCAAAATACTGACAGGTCCACAATGACTGGTAGCAATAACCATATTGATGACAATGTATCCAATGCTTATGCATAGATGCCAACTCAAAAGTCGGAGGCCTGATCTCGAACTGCCTGCATCCTGAAGTCACCGGCTCAGATTGCGTTCTACCGTGCTGAATGCAGAGCTTAAGCACGAAGGCCATAGCCCAGAGCTCTACAAGCCCAAATTATTGCTCATAACCTCTGCCCTCTACTAAATCCCCCCGAAAATTACAGGTTCCCCAAAGTCCAAAATCTGAGATCTGCCCTCAACACGACTTTTACCAGGGCTAAGACTAAAGTTAATTAAGGCTCGGATCCTGTGAACTAGGGGTTAGGGATTAGGGATCTCCTTGACTCTGGACTTGCGACATGTTGATTTTGTTGAATGGTGTTTGTGAAGGAATTTAACTGAAATCTGAATGCAATGTTGATTGGCCCTATTGCGATTTATAATTGCTTTTTGGCTAGGTTCTGATGAGATGCTAATTCGGTTTAAACTGCTTTTGGCTAGATTTTGATGAGATGGTAATTCTATTCCAATTGATCCTATACTAGATTTCCATAAGATTTTGATTTTGAATAGATTTGAATTGATTTGGGTACAACTTTGAATGGATTTCGCATTGCTCTCAATCAGATGTTGATTGGATTTCAATTGTTTTTTTTAAAACATTTGGTTCTAATCGATCTTAGTACGAGTTTGAATCTATTTCAAGTTTGTTTTACGTAGTTGAAATTAGGTTGAATGGTTCTTAATTCGGCTTGGATTGATTTCGCTACGGTGTTGAAGCAATGGGAATAGTTCGTTATTCGATTTAACCGATTTGTACCACGGTTTTGATTCGAGTTCGTTGGTTCATTATTCGATTTGCTCGGTTCTTGATTTGATTTTATTTAGATTTCGATGATCCGTTGTATACCCTCCTAACATCTAATACGGACTGCGATATATACATTATAAGGGAACCGTTTAATATTGGCGGGGAAGATTAATAATCCCTTATAGCCAAGATCATTGTACTGCAAACTGCCCCCCAAATCCGCATTCTCATTAATTCGACCCCTGTGTTGCACAGGTAAGGTTTGCATTCAGGTAGCTTGCAAGCCCGAACCCGTGGTTCCTGAGGCGTCTACAAATAAGTAGATATACATACACATACGTATTATGTAGTTTGTATCGGTATCTCTTGTCTTAGAATTATCATTCATATTGAGCATGGGCGCTTTTTACATTAGGGGGAGGTGATTGCTTTTGTGTGAAGTAGTGCTCTACAATGGTGCTTCTTGATCGCAATGCTTACAATCCAAGAGACTCGAGATTGCACCCGAGCGTCTGCTCCGTGAAGGGGTCCGCTTGCTGATTCGGAGGCGCCACAGTCCTCTGAAGTACGCAGAGGGGATCCAAATCGCTGGCCAGAAGCTCTGTGCTGGAGCCCTCTTAACAGGCCCTACGATAAGGGCCATTGTAGTATACTGGGGTCTGTATGTGGGCTCCCTACTAAAAAAACATTTCGTAACAAATGCACAATAGCAGCCAGGGTTCTGCGGGCTTTGCAGCTGTGTCTGCGGCTGCCCCTGTGGCAGAACTTGCTGGGGCATCTGCGGGCTGGCAGTCGGTTGCACCACCTGTGGAGTCTGCATCACCTGCTGCTGCGCCGGCTGCGCCGGCTGCGCCTGTGCTGCAACCGGTGGTGCCACTGGTGCCACTGCTATGGGCTGTGCCATCTGTGCCATCTGTGTCGGCGTTGTTTGCTGCAGGTTTTGCGCCTGTGCGGGATTTCCAACAAGCAAACAAGAAACCCTGCCGGTGGACTATACTAGGCTTAATGGCATTGCCAAAAGGGCCAGAGATCTGACAAGCAACCATCTGTCTTCATCATTCGATAGGCCTTTCTTTCTATCTATGTATATACACCTCGTAGGTCGAATGCGAGAAATACATCCCATTCAAAAAAACGCTTGCCAATAACTTTGAATGATTAGTTGACAACAGATTACTAGACGGATCTCGGCTTTCTAGACATGAAAGACTCCCAAGGCTTCTCATGAGTGGTTGGGGCAGCGTCAACAGCATGTGCGAAGATTCTGCGTGCCTCAACGATGCTTCGACTCAAGAATGCCACATGGCAAGTTTCAGCAACTCACAACGGATTTCATTCAAAGGGTCAGCTGAATCCAACACAGTCTGCTAGCACACTCTCTCATGCTAAAAACCATACAACTGACTTTCACAAGTGAATTCATAGCGTTGGCCTTTTAGGTATGCAGGACTTTGAGCAACTCATCAGCGAATTGGACCTGCTCTACTCCTGACGGATCGACTCAAGGGGGGCACAATAAGGACCCCCAAGCTAGCAACCCTCACATTGATAATTCAGAAGCCGAAAGAGATGGCAGGCTTCAATCATCAGAGACTCCATGTGCTTTCATTTTCCGTAGCTAAGGCTTGACAAGGATGTTCCAGGGCTCAACCTGAATCCACATAATCACGGTCTGGATTAGGAGGACATCTCAACACTTGAGCATAGGTGTTGATCCAAAAGGATTGCCAAGCATTGGGAGGAGTGGCGTCTTCTCCATCTTCTTATTGAGAGGATTTTGGTAACCCGAGTTCATGTTCGACTAGGATCCATATAGGGGGGTTGGGTTGTGAAAGCCCTCTCATTTTGTGAGATGCCTTGACAGCGCGTTTAGAACTTCCAGTTTGCCAAACCTCTTGCCTGTTGAGGGTCGGCTGCAGGTTGCTGCGCCTGTGGAAGTGGATGGCTACAACAGATTAGGGTTATATAGGGACGTGCAGGAATTAGGGCTGCTTAGGCTTTCCAAAAATGTTGGGATCCTTTTTAGCGAGGAAGAGAGTGCTTTCAGACGGGGGATCCCTGTTTTGGCAATGCCCACATCTGAAGCAGGCTTCTGTGCGGTCCTGCTTTAGCTGTTCCAACTCGAGGCGGAGCTGATCCTTCCAAATGTGACATCTTGCTCGTACTTAGGAAGAGTAGGGCGGGGGAGGCGGGGTGGGGGGAAGATGGGAACCATTCTAAGGGACCATATATAGCGATTAGCAGTAAGAAATGTCGTCTTACATTTTGGGTACTGGGCACTCTCAGATCGCCCCATGGTTCCCACCATCCTTCCAGTCTTCCAGTCCCTGGCCCAATGCTGAAAACGCCACAGGCCGTGAGTCCTGCTGTTGCTGGAGTAGATTGTACTGATTCTGGACCTCAGTCTCTTGTGTGAATGACTACAAAAGCAAGAAATACAAACCTGAAGCGTCTGCCAGGTAATCTACCTGGCAGACAGCGCACTGCTATCTGAGGGTTTGCAGTGTAGACACCATAATATATAACCTATAATCCATACTACGGGATTCATAGAAGGAAGCTCCCCATAATGTTTGGGAACATGTTTGTCTGGTTCCAGCTGCCTAGCGGCTTGTTGCTGCTGAGGTCCGGGAACATTTTGGACCTTAGCTCAATGCCCAACTTTGCAGAAACCTTCACTTTGCTGGCCCATCAATAAGAATTGCTTAGGCTGCAGGCAGCGGTCCATTGCTTTACCTGGCAAGGTGCTGCAACCACGTGAGGTCTCGCAAGCAGGTTTACGAACTGAAGCTCATGATTGAGAAATCTCTGGACATTCGGCACACTCTGGAGCTCTTTGGGTTGCGGACAACCTGCTCCTGCTGCTGCTGCAGCTGCTGAAGCTTTGCCTGCAGCTATGGACTGTCCCTGCATGGCTGATAACAGTGCAATCCCAGCCGGCATAGGTACACAGGCTTCTTTTTTCTTGACCCCAGACCAGAGCTGCAGAACTGCAATGTGCCTTCGGCTTTAATGAACAACTTGTGGAGGAGAGCACATCGGTTCGGGACGGGATTCTGATCCCAAAGTGGTCCCTCTTTGCACCACCAGTGACTGAAGCACCTTGTGCCCCTGACGGATCAAAGGGATAAATCGCAAGGGATACCGGGGGTCTTTTAGGGTCTGCTATTTAGGGTTCCCTGAATCTACCTGACTAAGGAGCTCTGATGAAACCACTGCCCACCTGCAGCTCCTGCCGGCGTTGGAGAACCTGGCACAAGTTCGGCCAGCCATCCCACAGCCAACTCTGTTTTACATGGAGAAAAGCGGATGAGAAAAGATGTTAGAAAACACACACTACGCAGACCATCTTTGATGGGCACGTCTAGATTTAGACAGAGTCAGGAGACGGGCAAGCAGGAGCAGCGACCCCTGGGGACAGGTTTGATAGAATGTCAGCCAGGAGTGTCAGATTAGCTGGTCC